CAAACACAAACACCTGCCTGAGATCATGTCGGAACTCCTGTGGGTGGGGAGAGGTGGTTGGATGGTGGTTGGATGGTGGACCAAAAAAGAACGGCCAGCTTGGTTTTTCTGCTCCTGTGCCAGGCCACTAGGCAAGCATGGTGTGTTTTCAGTCCTACCAGCCAGAAAAAGGAGGACTGACATGTTGTATCAGTGTTGTTCAGCTTCTGCCACTGTGCCTGTCTCCCCCCCCCCTCTCTCTCTCTGTGTCCATCTCGGACCTCTTCGTCTCTCCGACACACACACACAGCAGCTACACGATCAAAGATGCGCAACCCTGGCAAAACCATGCAGAGAAAGGTTGGATGACTGAAGAGCTGTCCCGACATTTCCATTTCGCTCAACCAGCACCTTCTTCAGTGCATCAAGGACCTCCCATCCAGGAAGGGGCGAGGATGAGGATGGTAGTCATGAGTGTAGTATGTGCATATATAGTCTATATAGTTTAATATAATTACCAAAAATAAGCCCACGAGTGCAGCTAGATGTGGAAGCACAAGGAAGATAAGGAGAACCTATTCACCTATTCACAATATACATTATAAGTTGATGCATCGAATAGAACTGGGACCACACAAATAGGTCCACCAATGCATCGTTGCACCCCTCTGAAGACGGGTTCTTCACCTGTCCAAGTCTCTGGACCAGTCTGCGTCCAAGGAACCCAACCACTGGTGTCAGACTCCACATCATCACTTCCACTTTGGCCACTTTGGTGTGGATTGCCCATCGAAGTTGTAACACCTCATACACACGGCCCTTTTGGAACGCCCAAACGACTGGGACACGTGCTAGCTCGCTGCTATAGTAAATGCTGAGCCCAAACGACTCGTGAACCAAAAACACGACTTGGCCAGGGAGCTGCTCGGCGCTTTGCCAGTTCCATCCAGGCTTGGACGGACATTTTGAACCTGCCGAAGTCGAAACTGATGAGCTCGGCGAACTGGGGCCACTGGCCGTGTCTAAGTTATGCACGTCGGTTCCTTGGAATTATGTCTCTCGAAAGAGTGCACTTGGGGGGTCTTGAAATTGAATTGCCACAGGCCACAGTGGGGGTGTCCCCATGAAATCGGCTCATTTGGTCCATTCCAGTGCCTCTTCTTGCAAGGCTGCTGCTGCACTCCTGTCTGTCAGTTAAAATGTATCAATCTATAGAAAGGGTCAAATTTGCTCCTCCCCACTATATAACCTCCTTCTATCTTCAGGAGAATATGTTGAAGCATTGTCTCGCTTTCTCATCGTTGGCCACTTCCTTCGGATTCTCCATGCAGCAACTTTCGGTGCCGTGTAGGTGCGTCCTCATCTCGCCAATCTTGGACGTGAACGATGCCAATTCACTTTCCAAGTACCTCAGCATGTTCCAAAAAAGCTCGCGGTGCCAATGCGGTGCCAATGAAAGTATGTCTTTTCTTTTTGCCATGTTACTGCAAGCGCGCTTCTGTCGGAGGCTGGCCCTGGCGGTGCAGATCTTTCGATCAAAGCCCCTGACCGATGTATCAATATCAATCAAGACAGCGTGGTGAAAAATCCTGGACAAAAATGGAACCTCTTTTGACACGGCGACATTTTCAACCTCACTCTTTCCTTCTGTAGATCGCAGGATATTTTGGACTAACACTACATACACTCAAGTCACAAGCTCCATATCTCAGCAATCTCATCAAGTCACAAGGCCCGCTCAGCCCTGACACTTTGCCTGGCCTGTCCACGAACATGCAGGCTTGGACCACCTTGGCTATCCATTTTCTTGCATGCAGTCTGTCAAGACATGCGCAAGCCCTCAAACACCTTCCCAAAGTGATCCAGCATCTTGGAACATACGTGTAGCTACGTCTCCTCCCAACGAGCAAAGGAAAGGACATCATGAAAAACCAGTCAAGCTCCTCATGTGACTATATAGATCTGGCATTTGCATCGAGCCAAGCCCAAAAAGCAAGTTTCAAGCCAGAGTCACGTGAAACTGAGTTCTCACCTTGTGATAGAGGAACTGATTGCTCACGATGTCGCGGAACCTCGGACACAAAGTTGCGGCCCAAAGGGGGGTGGCGAAAGCTAGGCAAAGAACCTGGGTTCCCACCCTCCTTGCTAAAGCAAGACAGACTCCAGCTAGCTACAGCTAGCTTTCGTGATATCTATCGACCACGACATATGCTTTTACTTCTGGCAACTCTCTATCGCTAACCATCCTTAGATCCAACAGCTCCAACATCGCGACTCACTTCGCTGCGCGAAATTCACTCGCGTCGTCACTCGCAGGCCGTGGTGCGTCGCGTTCCCTTCGCGCCTCTTTGTTGACGCGATTTGAAAGTTCCACAGAGCCTGCCGGAAGAACGAGAGCGGCTCCGCGCCTGGTCTTCAAAGGTCTGGAACGCCCATTGTTGCCTTTTTGGGCATCTCAAAGACTGACTGTACTTTCTTTTTCTTCGCTCTCGTGAAGAGCGGTATATGTTGTGTCCTAGATCCAAGTCACATGAAGCCTGGTCTTGAGTACTTCTTTCGATCAAGTTGTAGGTTCCTCTCTCCTTAATGTCTTGCGTGGGATGTTGTTTCAGTTGTTTCACAATAAATGTTCCTAGTAGCTTCTTGTTCCTGGTAGTAAGGCCAGGAGCCCCGTTCGTAGCGTCCGATCGCCGTTCGTAGCGATGCCAGGAGCCCCGACCGTAGCTTCTTTGCTCATAGCCTTTGCCACAACCCTTGATCGCTTCTGCAGAAGAATGCCGGGCCTTGGCCGAAAACTCGGACTACGTCGAGAAGCCGATCGGATGTGAAGGCCGGATCCGTTTGCATCGATTTTGAATCACAATGTGATACTTTTGTGCCTGTCTGCTCTAGCATTTGAGGAAAGAGGCTTTACAGCTTTATATACAATAATTTGATGTTGGGCACCCCAGTAAAGCCCCGGAGTCCAAGTAACTTTTGCAGTCGAGCTTTGCTGTTGAACAATCGGCACACTTGGGGATGACCTCACGTGCGCGGGGACGACTCACGTCCCAAATCAAAGGCATGCGACCAAATTGTGCAGCTTGAAAAAGGGCGGAAAGGGTCACCTGTTAAGCATTTGTTTTTCATACACCGCACCTATAGCGCACATCTGCATGCACGTCTTGATGTGTTCTGGGCAGTCCTGCACACAAAGGCGGCCTTCAACTGCTTTGAAGCTAAAATGGAGAGGCATGGAGAGGCTTGCTGTCACAAACCAATCCGAACAAACAAAGAATTAGAAAGTAAGTGGAGGCCAACGCTAGCCATCGCTACTAGGTTGGAGGCTATCGCCAATAGGCCGTTCTCAAGTACAGTAACCTTCAAATTTGCTTCCCGATAGTTTGGATCTTGTGAGGCATTGAATTGATTTCCCATCCCAGAACGCCTCTATTCTGCACCGGCGGCGATGTCGCATGTGGATACGACATCTTCGGCATCTGCAGTGACGTCCTGATCTGCAAGAGTCACAGGAGGGCCAAGTACCTAGCAATGGCCTCCACCTTAATAGCAATGGCCTCCAGCCTACCAGCGATGGCCTCCAACCTTTGTTAGAGAAATGCGCTGCGTAGTGTCGCATCGCATCGCTTCCGGAGCTTTTGCAAGCTCCTCCCTCCTCTGGGATGTGTTTCACAGCCCAGCCTGGGCACTCCCTGCTGCACTCCCATAGGAAACTGTGATGCAGTCATTCCCATAGGAGCATGTGATGCAGGCCTCCCAAACTCAAATAAAACACTCACATAACAGCAACGAAGCAAGCGAAGCAAGTCTCCGCCAATGTCTTCAGGCCCACGTTAGCCTTCACATGCTGCTAGTCTCTTGGTCTCCTCTGGTGTCTTAAAGAAAACAGAAGTGAAAAGAACATGCATCCTTTCTTAATCTCTTTGTAGTTCTATTGTCTCACTTCTATGATCTCAGAATTAGTTCCTTCCTTTCTTAATATAATTTTCGTTCCTTTGTTTCTATTATCCCCATGTTGACCTTGGTCTCTTTTGGTCTCTTGTGGTCTCTTAACCCCGACCAACCGGAGGTGAGACATCCCAGCCTGGGTGAGAAAGCTTTCATCGGTGCGAGGTGAGGCGATGGCAGTCGTGTGCTACTCAAAGACTTGAGACATAAGCTGCAATGCACCATCGCGCAGGGAAGAAACACCAATTCAAGGTCATGGATGGAGGAACACGGACAGGAACAAGGAGATGCAAGGGGCCACAATAATGACATTCCTTTAGAAGTGCTACATGCACGCACGCACACGCCAAGCACCTGTGAGGTAGGTTGCCGGACAGAAAGACCTTATATAAAGGAGTCCGTCTAAAATGCCTGTCTAGGACTTTCACATCCCCAGTCGGGCTCAGTGTGGCAAGGCGACGCGCAGCCAAAATCTGAACATTCTTGCTAAAGTTATCTATACACTTACAATATGTTAGTAGATATATCAGCGAATGGCCTCCAACCTAGTAGCGATGACCTCCATCCTAGTTATATTCATCCAAGTGGTTTGGCACTGGGACCTTCACATGCTTGAGGGTGAGTGTGAGTCTCCGGCTGACCAAGACGAGCCGTTGGCTCGTTGGAGTCTCCGATCACCGGTTGTCCCAAATGGTCGGCCAAGGCCGCTTCCCTTTCAACATCAACAATCTTCCTATATAAAAGTGTTTCTTCCCGCTTACTCCACGGTTGCCCGGTTACCTGGTTGAGCTGTTTCTACCAAAAAATCATACAGAATACATACTCAGACTCTGATCTGTTCATTTTGTCTTGAATCACTGAGATTTTCTTAAACATCTGCAGTTTTTTCTTTCAGGTTCCTTTCCTGTTCAACTCTTGAGCCCGGTGTTCCCACTTGGTTCGGCAACCCACACCCAGAAACTTGGATACAGTATGTCCCAACGTTCGTGACTGGCTGGTTCGGCCTCGGAACTTGGATGGGAAAGCCTGGAGACATGACAAAAATGACGTGGCACCGAGATCCTTCCCCATGCCTGTTGAGGAGTCCAACTCCCATTTGCCGGTTGTCAGCTGAACATATATCCACCTTGGGTGCCAAACCTGTGAAATTCCACCATCCGTCACCTTCTACGTCATGTCAAGCCCAAACTAAATTGCGATCTATGTACGATTATGTCCAGATTCGACATAACAAATAAATGCCGCTGATGTGGTAAGAGCTCCATCTCAATAACATGCATACCAACGCTTTACCAACGCCCTGTATTTTGCGCAGTGGCGCCAGCAGAGTGTCAAAGACACCCGGGAAAAAAGAACATAGCCAGCAACAGTGAGAACACAAACTTAGCTAGATTGAATGTGGAACATGACAAAAACCGATCCAGAATATATCTATGGAAAAAACATATTTAAACCTTGGGCTTCTCACTCATCCAGTGGTTCAGCAAGAAAATCTCAATCACCCGATTCCATCGGCAAGCAGGTTATGAAGCGCGGTGACTTGCGGGATGCTGTAGACATCTGCATTTTTGGGATGTTCTGCATGTTTGCTGGGATGTGCTTCAGATCTGACATACATATATCCCAAAGAACACTTGAAAAACATACTTGTCCTCAGGAACGAAACGTTCTCAGACTTTCGGACCAATCTCCACTTGCTGTCATAGCTGGGGGAGCATCAAGTAGCTCTCCCATGAACGCGCCAAGGCACCAGCGTGCCCGGCGGCAACACGCCCAACTCGCTGATGTTGCGGACCTCATCGTCATAGATCCAAGGATGGCCCATCTGCCTTGGATCTCATTTTGAAAAGGAAGTGAATTAGAAGTAGTAACAAGTGCATCGCTACTAGTAACAAGTGCATTACTGCTAGTAACAAGAAGCTACTAGTGGCTTCTAGCTACTATACTGAACGTAGAATACAACCTTCAAATAGAAGTCGAGACCATCTTAATCTTACTATCTCTTACTTTTGTCTTGATAAGGTTGTCACTTTTTGATTCCATCTGGACAACAGTCGAGTATGCAGGAGGGTGACAATCAGTGGTTTGAGATGGTCTGAGACATTGAGGAACCAGTTCTCCAAACAAAAAACATTTGGAGCGTCCCACTTCCAAACAGCTCAGGAGTGGATCGTCCATTGGACGGAACTCGTCTTCAACTCCAACGATCCATTTGTTCCAGCTTTCAAGCTGCAGCAGCAATTGCCTGGGGAACTCCTAGCGGATCGGGGTTTGAGGAACCGTGAGCTTAGTGAGGAGAGGACTTGGTGTACCAACCATAGAGCAACCAGATTGGTTTTCCTCTTGCACATTTGGACCACAAGGGCCAAGGCTGAATCATGTTGGTCGATGATTTGCAGGAACTTGAGGTGTTTGGCGACGTTTGGGTGGACATTTTTCGGCCCAGTCTGACAGATTGTTCACACTCGGGATCAGTTGAAGTGCCACTACACTAGCTATATTCAAGATGCATCAAGAATTACAGTAGTATACGTTCACGAGATGTAGGGTTCCATCCCTTGACTGTCCCGTGCATCAAGGCTTGATCACCAAAGAAACACAAAGAACACCTTGCAAACAAACAACCAATTCCCTTGACACATGTCTTCCGGGAACGCACAAATCAAACAAGAGGAACATATTGGCACCGCTCAGCACAGCGGTGTAATCGATGGTTTTTCAGCGACCGTTCTCGGTGATCAAGAGGGATCAACGCCAATTTATGGACAGTGCTCCAATCCATGAATGATGTGTGACTGGATGTGCTTGAGAAACACACATAGCAATGATGTGCCCCAAGTTAAGATGGGCATGTTTTGTTCTCCCCGTTTTGGGTTCTATGTTGACTGTTTGGTGGAGGCCTTCTTTTTTTTTACACGTTTCAGTTTTTTTTTGGATCCGTTTTAGGGTTCTTTCTCGACCCGATTTTGGGGTTGTTTTTTTACCCGATGATTCAATAAGGCCATCTGAGGTGAAACCAGCCTAGGGTGAGATGAAACAGGCTCAAACGACATGAGGAAGGTGCCAACTGAGGTCAAAGGAATTGGATGGAATTGGGATTCCAACAAAGGAAGTGAACAGGTCTTTGTCTGCAATTCGCCATGAAGTCATCAACGAAGTGAACAGTTCCACGACACCCAGTGCCTGCAGCTTTCAGGACACTTTCAATTGGAAGAAACTCCTTAGCATTTCTTGAGCCTCTGCCACACATAGTTCTGCCACAAATCCAATTCTGCATACTTGGGCACCGCCTCCCAACACATGTAGTTTAATAAACCTAGAAGCCATGGCCTCCTTCTTGTCTCCTCCTTCAAATAAGCCATCGGTCGAGTCCGTGTGCCTTCTTGGTCGCCTCAGGGGCTTTCTCAGTCCGTTCGCCCAAAGAGGAGAGCGCACATCGACGGGAACACGTTCTCATCGACCCTCCGTTCCACAGATCCTTCCCCTCCGGTAGATGAGGTTGCCAAATCTCAGGCTCAGGGTGGCCAAAGATTCTGGTGAGGAAAGTCAAGACAACGCCTAAATCCCAGAGTGGGTGTCAAGTTGAGGGTACTCGTAGTGTCTTATTGAGCAACTTGGGATTGTGATGCTGTACAGGTGCCCGGGCACCATGCATTCAACAGCACTTCCCCCGTTCCTCGGAACTGGCCTGGTCCAACAGCTTCGAAAAAAACGACGCACAGCCAAACAGGGCACACCTGATTTCCAATAGATGGCATAGTACCTTAGTATACCTTAGTACCTTCGTAGCATCACAGCAAGCAGAATGACCGGTGGCCAGGGTCTCCAGACCCACAGGTATCCTGTACGTTTTGTGTGACCTACTCCAGCTTGTCCTGAACACTCTACAGCACCTGATGCGACTTGCTGTTCCACCAAAGAAGCAAACACTGCGAGAGGGAGCAGCGGCGAAGGTGCGCGAGATCCTGGATGTAGGGTTTTCAAGGACAAATAGGAAGCAACAACTGTGTTTCACAAGGAGATATGCGATGAATAGTGAATGTCTGATATTTAGTTTGGATATTTGAACTAATTTCCACAAGTGGACAGGCGTGGAACTCGGTTGGAGAACATAGAAACCCTCGTTGATCTATTCCGGTCACAAGGCCGACCGATGCAAGTTAAAACAACAACAAAACTATTATAGCCAAGGTAGATCAAGGCAGAAGAATGTGCAATTAACGAGCCCCACATGGCTGGGAGTCATAGCTTAACTTTGTCCACCAATACGGCCCTAGAGGAAAGGACATCTTGCCACTCGGCCCTCATCTCCTGCAGAAGCTGAGCTTTTTGATGCATAGCTGCATCGCCGCTCGCTGAAGCGGATTCATCTGGCATCATCTCAAGACTGTCGTGGAGCCATCGCAGGGAACGCTTTGCTTTGCTAAAAAAGCTTCAGATCCAATGACCACCAATTGGTTCTTACTGATGGACATCCTGCACCACCTCGGACCTCGGTGGGGAAAATGCCCAGTCTTTACCCCGTCTTGGTTCCTTCTTTTTCTAAGACATGAATTTAGGAACCCAAATAGAATGAGTAGTGCATGAACTATCCTGCGTCCTAGCTAGTAGCACGTTACCTAGTATATACAGTAGTTTGTTTTAAGTGGCCGCCTACTCAATTAAGAAAGCTGTGTCTTTCTTGTTGAACAATTTCTTATCTGAATAGATCTGAATGGATCTTATCTGTGTCGATGACTGGACTTTTAGCTGTCGGTTCCCCAACTGATCCCTCCAAACAAACCCAGCAAGGGCCGATGTGACGAAGCCGATGCTGCACCAAAGTTGTGCGATGAAGGCATCTCTGATTGTTCAAAACTTCAGTGCAGGATATCCAAGGAGAAGATCTAAAGTCTAAAGTAAACGTTTTTTTTTTTTTTTTCCGAAAGCTAGGAGGTCTCTCACAAAGTGTGCAGTTCTTGTTGGAAGGCGTGTAACAAAGTATATACCTTTACAACCGACTAGTAGATAGACTCTAATGCAGTAAAGGTTGATGTCTTTTACTGGTCCATTCTGAGGCGTCTCAAATCTGGATGCTGGAGGGCTGTCAGCTTTGGTCTTCGGCTCGAGCCTCAAGCGGCTTCACAGCAATGTTTACTTGTTGCAATATGTTGCAATGGCAGGGGGAGGTGAGGAGAGGAGAGGAGAGGAGAGGAGGATGAGAAGAAGAGGAGGAGAAGAGAAGAAGAGGACTGCTCTGATAAGATCTAACAACCCTCACCTGGCAGGTGAGGAACAATCGGAGAAGAATTTATAACATCTAATTTGTGGCACTCCCTGGTAAATCAACCAACACCTTAAAAACAACAGCTTGAAAGGGTCTCTTGCCTTCTCACTCCATTGTAGCTCGACTGTTCAGTTGCGCCACAAGTGACATCACGAAAGCGACTGAAGACAGGAAAGGCACCTTCGATAGCCGCGTCTCTTCCGGGGCAACTCCAGGCGTCTTCCATAGCTATGGTAGTTCTTCTATAGTTCTTGTTCATGGTCACGATAAGAACGGATGTGAAACGATGTGAACATGTGGCGAAAGCAACTACTCCAGTCAGAAAGACAACTGGGAAGCACCTCAGGACATTTGAAGTCAGGCTATATCCTGGAATCCTCTGGAAGGACCTCCGACGTCGATCTCCACCTCTCCACCGCCACAATACGGCGATCCCAAAGGGGGCCACGTCTGGGCGACGTGGGCCAAACGTGAGCCGATTCTGGTGCCAGAACCGCGTGGTACGTGAGCCGATTCTGTGCATGGTCCATTTTCTATTGACTGAAATGCCTGGTGCTCCATGGACATGTAAATCCTGTGCGAAGCCGAAGCCGCAAAGCTCTGGCTGTGGCTATCCAAGACTGCCACCAAAATAGAGGATGCCAATGTAGCTAATTAGTGGAGTCGCCTCTTGTAAAACTAAATGTCACGGCAGTACCAAAATCAAAGCTGCTCCATCAGGACAAACGATTTTGAGAAAACATAGTTCTTCGTGCCACTTGATTCACGCAGTTTGTCTGACCTCACGGCATGTCTTTAAAATTCACGTTGTCAAAATGGAGGCCCACTCCAAAGTCCCCGACGCAGGAAAACTTGGTGAACTCGTGAAGCAGCAATAATAATCAACAAGCATCAATAATAACATTATTAACTATATAATGGAATTTCGTCACTTCGACTTCTTCGAGAAGAACTTCCGACCAGAATGGTCTGTGGAAGAACACAGAAAAGTGGGGCTTGTGGCAAGGGTTGTTGGAATGTTATGATGGAATGCCAAAAGAACCTCTGGTTGAGATACTCACCTCGGCTCCACAACCTTGAAAAAAAATCATTGCAAAACCAATCATAGCACTTCATAACCGTGATGAAGGTAACCAGGTAGCGGAGGAAGTGGAAGACAAATTAAACTCATTGGAGTATCGAAAACCAGGGGCCTCTTGCTCCACGGCGCCTCTTCCTCCACGGGGCCTCACCTCAATCCACACGGCCTGTGCCAATCCACACCTTGGCATCTGACCCAGCGGACATTGGTGGAGCCGACGGCTGATCTGAAAAACCGCTGTGGTGGTAACCTTCTGGACATTAGCATAAGGAATCTACTATAAATGGCCTCCAACCTAACAGCTTCCAACCTATTTGGAATGGCCTCCACCCTAGTAGCGATGGCCTCTAACCTTCTGGACATGGAATCTTCCGAGTTTTCAGCCATTGCAGTTGTCCCGCCAGCATGTGATGCACGAGCACGAGCACGAGCAGCACTTCTTTTCCCATTTTTTTCTCACAGTGTGCCCCATGTCGTCTCCCAGCTACAAGTTTGCAGTGAGCCTCTGTAGTAGATGGCCAACAAAATCGGACAAGGAATATCACCCCTCTGCAAAAAGTGGGTTGATCCGCCTCTGCTCTTTTAGGCAGCATGACAGGTTGCTTTGCAACTTGCCTGTAAAGTCGAAGGCGGTACGAGAAAACCAAAAATGCGGAGATTGCACAACCACCAAGGATTCAGGAATTCTCAATCCGAGCCTCAAGCGCCAAAGGGCTCTCATATCCTGGCTCTGCTGTTGGTGCCCTATGTTTCGTCTGTTTGGATAGATTTGTGGCTACTCAGGGTAGCAATTGGACCTGCCAAAGTTCAGCCTTGCGATTATTCTGACTCACTTTGCTGCTTGAGAATCCTTGAATCCATGGCGGATCCCCAGTCTTCAGGCTTTAGGGCTTGCCTAAATTGCATTTTTTTACATGTCCAAGTGTGTCGGCTTGGTGTGATCCAATTCCCAAACATTGCAGTGGTCTGACGGTAGGTCTGACAGCGTCATGCAAAGCTCTGCTGTGCTCTGCTCACATTGCTCAGCCACTGTTGGTCAGGTGGCTCTTGTGAATCATATGCTTGCGATCCCCCCACGGTGCTCCAGGATTTTTCAATATATTGGTAGCGTTTCTCGGCCCCAGGTGTAGACGAAATATCTGCTCCATCGGTCAAGTTGCTTAACTCAACATAGTCTGGCCTTGGCTCTGCTGGGATGATGGTGCAACTCCCATGTTTGGCGACGTCACAATATCAACGTAGACTGTCCTTCACTTTCCTAAACCTATATGTCTTGCCCTTCTGCCTGCAGCTGACGTGTCCTTTTCTGGGGCACACGTGGATCTGTTGTTGGCCGTCTTGGCCCAGGTGCAGCTGGAAGCAGGCATAGGCATTCGAATGGAAATGTGGATGGCTTTGACAACACAGTGATTTTGACGGAGGTCTGAATCCAGCCTTACTAGTGGTGGTGGGGTGGAGGAGGTTGACCCTGATGAGCTGCAGTCATGGTCAAGCATGTGAGTGGCATGTCTT